CTGTTACGAGTGCACAGGAAGGGGTCATATGGGAAGGGACTGCCCACTGCGTAACGGAGTAATAAGAAGAGGAGAGACTTGTTCTAAATGTGGAGGCAAGGATCATTATGCAAGAGACTGTGCGACTGCGAGACGAATAACAGTAGGAAGCCAGAGAGTAAATACGGGAGCGAGTATGGAGACGAGAGAGGGAGTCAATCGGTCAAACGAGAAGGCCTAGGTACTGAAGGAGACAAGTGTCCTAGGCCAGAACTCAGTGGCAAGGGGATACAGGTTGTTACAAGCCCAAACGCCATAAAGATCTCCAGCCCTATCCAACGAAGCGGTCGAGCGGTAGTGACGAGCGAAGTAAACGGGAACGAAACGATAACGCACAGAGGTAGGCATGTGATGTTGACGAACGGAAACGGAGAACCATTTAACGGGAACGGGATCGGAACGGATGAGAGTGAACGGTGGGAGCAGAGCGAGGAAGCAGGAGCGATAATCGGAGAAGAGATGATTTTACCGCCTTGGTTATGGGAGCAGGATGGGCGAGCGAACCCGCATGGTACGTTGTGCAGAGTTTGTAGTGGTGGAAGAACGGCTGTGCTGCAGTTGGAGATAACAGGGTATCGATGCGAAGGGTTATTGGATACGGGGGCATCAAGGAGTTTTATTCAACCATCGGTGGTAGAGAAGTTGGGGTTAAGAACGAGAGCCCTGTCAGAGGAGTATTCATTCACGGTAGCAAACGGAGAAATTATTAAGATACATAGGGAAGTGCCGCGACTCGCCATAATTTGTGGAGGTGAATGTTTCACGGGAAATTTCCTTGTAGGCCAGGTGCCATACGCGGTGATCCTCGGAATTGATTGGCTAGATAGGTACAAGGTAGCGTGGTTTTTCGGATCGGATAAGCTGAGAACGTATGTAAAGGGTAAGGTGTGCGATTTACCCGTGTTGCGAAGAGAGGGAGAAAGGCCCATGGAAATTATGGGAAGGGGTGATATAGACAAAACAGATGCGGATCTGGCATATGAGGAGTTAGCGAAGCAAGTAGCGAGGATGACTACTGAGGAGGCTGCCGTATTTGTACGTGCACCGAGCAAGCGTTACAAAGCGAAGCATAGGAAGACGGGAAGGATCAAAATAAAGGAGCTCATAGACCAGGCTAGGGAAAACGCTAAGGAACTGAAAGGCGTGATACAAGGATTAAATTGCATTGTCGAATTGCCAGAAACAGAGGTCGATCTAGACAGACGAAGAACAACGATGAGACAAGGACATATAATAGGAGCGATTGTGCAACAAAGAAGGAATACCAGGGAGTGGGAGCGGGGTGCGAATGGACCTGGGAAACAAGAAGACTTTGAGGACAAGGAAGACTCACCATGGCCTAAGGCTATTCTGGAATTTACAGAATTTGACAAGTGGATTGAAGGTGAAGAGGCCCGAACTATACCCCCGCAAGTGGTTCAACTGTTAAGAAGGTATCGGACTTTATTTCCTGACAGTTTACCTGATGGGTTACCTCCCAAGAGACCCTTCGATCACAGAATTCTACTTAATCCAGGAAAGTTACCCACAAGAGCGCCTGTTTACAAAATGCCCCCAGATCACCTGATACATCACGCGAAGGAAATAGAACGACTTTGTGCAAAGGGTTGGATAGGCCCGACCTACTCTCCTATCTGTGCACCGACGATTATGGTGGGCAAAAGAGATGACGGGTCTGGGGAGCGGAAAATGCGTATGGTAGTAAATTATCAGGCGCTGAATGCATTAACTATTGCAACTGAGTTTCCTATGCCGTGCGTCCAAACCGTAATAGAGATGCTAGGAGGGGCTTCATACTTCTCAACGTTGGATCTAGAAGCGGGGTTTCATCAGATAAGAATGGCTAAGGAAGATAGATGGAAGACTGCCTTTAGATCTATACAAGGGTTGTTCGAATATAAGGTTATGCCATTTGGTTTAAAGGGGGCACCTGCTACATTTCAAGCTAATATAAATGCGTATTTGCAACCCTTGTTAGGGCATGGGGTGATTGCTTATATTGATGATGTCCTAATTTATAGTAAAACTTTAGAAGCGCACCTTCAGGTGTTACAGCAAGTCTTCGAAATATTCCTTAAGAATCAATTTTACCCCAAGTTAATTAAATGTAAATTCGCTAAACGGGAGTTAACCTATCTTGGTTATACGATAGGTGCGGATGGAATTAAACCGGCAGCCGACAAAGTGGAAGCGATCAACCTATGGCCGGAAGACCTTACTAACGAGACTCAGGTGCGACAATTTCTAGGCACGGTTAACTACTGTAGAATGTTCATGGGGCCGAGATATGCAGATCTCGCGCGGCCCCTGGTAGATCTCACGCGTAAAAATGCGCCCTTTGTTTGGACTGAAGATCACAGAAACGCGGTACGACAATTGAAACAGCGTTTAGCAGAATTTACGATATTACAAGTGCCAGACTC